ACCCAGTGAAGAGGCGGGGCAGGAGCTCGGCCCGGGGCCCCCGCAACCTCAACTAGGTGAGTACATACACACACAACACACCACACACACACACACACACTGCAGCATCGGGGCCTGGCAAACCTGAGAATAGCGTTCCGATACCTTAATAAGGAATCGTTCAAACACTGTACACTGTGTATGTTAGGCCTATACTGGAGTTGGCGCACCAGTCTGGAACCCACACCTGGTCAAGCACGTCAAGAAGCTAGAGAAAGTACAAAGGTTTTCAACAAGGCTAGTCCCAGAGCTCAAGGGAATGTCGTACGAGGAAAGGTTGAGGGAAATCGGACTGACGACACTGGAGGACAGAAGGGTCAGGGGGACATTTTTAACGACATACAAGATACTGCGGGGAATAGACAAGGTGGACAGAGATTGGATGTTCCCGAGAGGGGGCACAGGGACAAGGGGTCACAACTGGAAGCTGAAGACTCAGACGGTCACAGGGGCGTTAGGGAAATATTTCTTCAGTCATAGAGTTGTCAGCAAATGGAAAAGCCTAGCAAGTGAAGTAGTGGAGGCAGGAACCATACATAGTTTTAAGAAGAGGTATGATACAGCTCAGGGAAATAGAAAAGGGAGGAGGACCCAGTAGCGATCAGGGAAGAGGCGGGGCCCGGAGCTGGTCTCGACCCCTGCAACACAATTAGTGGAATTAGATGAGAAAAACACATACAAACACACACACAATATATATATATATATATATTTTAAAATATATATATATATATATATATATATAAAAATTTTATATATATATATTATATATAAAATATATTTGGTTTTAAATTGTGGGACCCATCATAGCCTCGGAGAAGTGGATAAAAAGGCTTCAAGGAAGAGTATTTAGATTTCTTCCTGAAGCCGTTTGAATATTCTACTTCCCTTACCATTCCATCTTTTCATTTTTTTACCAATAGGTATATTTTATTACATAATATGGTACAAAAGATTTAAGAGATACATTGCTGATATAAAGATTGCACATACAGCACATGAGGTGTGAGAGATATATGTCTAGTAGATATTGTTACGTGTTTGTCACTGATTATAATGCGAAAATCTCATCCTGCTCTTCAGAGCTGGGGCGCATGCCCAAAATAGGAGAAGGCATCACTCGTCTGAACAGCCACACTAAGTCACTGGAACAGAAAACTAGCTGCCCTGGGACCCCTAGTTACCCTGATGAGTCTTTTTCCCAGTTCCTTAAGGAACTTGGATGCACTCTTTCCCCATGAGTCAAGGGTCTCTGAGCCTATGGGAACAAACATATAATGATGGGCAAGTTCTCCATATTTTCTAGACTTTTGGGACTCCCTGAAGCTGGCGGCTGCCCCTCCTTCCTCCCTGGTGTATTGGAGATAGGTATCAGCCAAGGTAGATGCACATGTATAGTCCCACACCACCTGCTTGCCGTCTGTTCAGGCTTGAAGTGTGATACCATCTGGACACTTCTAGCTGCTATCAGATCTGCATAGTTAGGGTGGCTCCCTTACTGCTGGGCATCCAGGTGTTGTGAGGCTCCTCTTGATAATGTTATTAACCTCCTCATGTTTTGCAATCTTTCTCTCGGATTTACGGCACACAAAACAATGGTACCCGAATCGGTCTGCTGCTTCACTGCCACAAATACATTTATGTTCGGCGAGAATAGGGGCGGCAAGTTGAAGGGCAACACCAATGCGGATGGTCTGTGAGTCGAGACCTGTGCCAAGGCTGGAGTTGGGAACAGCCAACAGAAGGTCCCCTGCATGAGGGGCTCTCACTGCCAGGAGGCGGGCTCTATCCTTCCCTGACACACTCTGAAGCATTGTTGAGGCTGCATTCTCCACTATTGGACCATCCCAGTGCGACTGTTTGTAGTTGTTTGGGGGAGCAGGTCTGGTTTCAGAGCCCGTTAGATTATCCCAGATCCTGGCTCCATCAATGAACTTTTGGTCCTGGACTCCAATCTTGTCCCTAAGATGTTCAGGGAGAATCGCTGCTACAAGCTCTCTGGATGCAATACACGAGGACAGAAAAGCAGGTAACGCAATCTGTGATGACTTGCGGACACCAGTGCCTCCTAGTCTGACTGGAAGTGTAGCTTGGTTCCACTGCCCATCTTCTAGAGTAAGGTTAAGTACTTTCGTAAAAATCTGCCTCAGAATACTGTCATATTCGTGCAGTATAGGGTTATCATATGAAGGTGCACATCTTAGGAAATATGTCAACCTAGGCAGACTCAAGCACTTTGTGAGAAGGTACAAGGCATCGTGGGTGTCCAGATTGCCTATTCGTTGTTCCATTCTCCTTTACTCTTCCAATTTCTTCCTGAGAATTGTGTCAATGGCATTGTTTCCCAGAGGTGCTCCAAGCAAGACTCTATTTGTGGGGGAAATGACTGATGCTCCTGGTAGTTTGGATATCACTGCATTTATCCCTTGTTGACTGACTGAGATGATTTCACATTTGGATGGATTCAGGAAGAGACCCATTTCCTGTCCCCGTGTCATCACCCGTGTAAGATCATCTAGGAGGGATTCCTTTGTACCTGCTATTGTGCCATCATCCAGGAACCAGATGTTTAGCTCACTGGTCAGTCTGATTGTGATTTTCCTAACCGCTATACAGATGCTGGACACCCTCTGATGATGTGATTTCATGCTCTCCAAACAGGAGCACTGATTCCTTGCTATATCCAGCTGAAACAAAAGGGAAGAGGCCAGGGAAATGTTCTTGTACCGCTGCTAATACCACATCTCTTTTCAGGAGAATAAATGCATTCTTGAAGTCTAATTTTACCACTGCATTGTCCTCTGGCAGGTTGTTGATATACGCCCTTGTTGCATGAACCGCTGCTTCACTTCCTTGAGAGACCACAAAGTCAAGCTGGTTTGGTTGAAGCATCATGGCTGCCTCTGAGCGAATACTTCGGACAGCAACTTTGGAAACGAGGCGGCGAAAAGTGTTGACCCCTGCAATTGGCCTAATTCCTCCATCCTTCTTTTCTTTAAATGCTGTGGCCTTATTCCAGTGTAACCCCCAGCAGAGCCAGATGGGAACGACATTATTGATTTGTAAATGTCCGAGTCTTCCACAATCAATGGTTCCACAGTGGGGACAGAGGTGTTGGAACTGTTGGTGCCACTGGTTTCCCTGGCAGAGTGCTTTCCCCTAAGTGCTTCTGCCGTGTCAGCATCCCTGGGAGCAACTGTATCTTCACTGGTAATAATTCTGATTGCCCCCACTGTGTTGCCCTCTTCAATTTTCTTGCTCACCTGGACTCTGACTTTTTCACTGTCAGTGGAGTGAGTGGGGGTTCTGCCTCTCCCGTTTCATAAATATTATATGGGTTTATAAAATGGACCAGAAGAATCACAATATGGATCAGAGGATGGACCACAAGATGGACCAGAGGATGGACCACAAGATGGACTAGAGGATGGACCACAAGATGGACCAGAGGATGGACCACAAGACGGACCAGAGGATGGACCACAAGATAGACCAGAGGATGGACCACAAGATAGACCAGAGGATGGACCACAAGATGGAACAGATGTACCTTTATCTTTGATGAGTTCCAAGAATCTTTCTACTCTCAGAGCCTGGTCATGGGCTAGGGTCGTCTGGTACTAGCCTGGTCAACCAGGCTGTTGCTGCTGGTGGCCTGCTACCCTACATATCCATCACAGCCTGGTTGATCTGGCACCTGGTGAAGATACTTGTCCAGTTTCCTCTTGAAGACTTCTAACCTTGTTCCAGCAGTTTTTCTGATATCTTCTGGTAAGATGTTGAATAATCTGGGACCCCGGATGTTGATACAGTGTTCCCTTAGTATGCCCACCGCACCCCTGCTCCTCACTGGGTTTATTTTACACATCCTCCCATATCTCTCACTCCAGTATGTTGTTATGGCAGTGTGCAGATTTGGGACCAGGCCCTCGAGTACTTTCCAGATATATATTATCTCTCTCGCCTCCGCTGCAGTGAGTACATATTCAAGACTTTAAGGCGTTCCCGGTAATCTAAATGCTTTACTGACTCTATGTGAGCCGTCAACGATCTCTGTATTTGTTCCGGCTCTGATACTTCTCCTGCCTTGAACGGAGCCGTCAACACTGAACAATATTCCAAATGAGGGAGCACTAGCGATTTGAAAAGTGTCACCACTGGTATTATTTCCCTTGCTTAGAAAGTTCTCTATACCTACCCCGTCCTCCTGGCAGTCGTGATCTTTGTCTTATGTTCTTTGAAAGAAAGTTCAGCTGACATAATTATTGCTAAGTCTTTTATGTGTGCCTTTCGTTCTATTTGATGATCCTTTTGAGTTTTGTATACAGTGTTCATTTTTGTCTGACTCTTTTTGGGTTATCCCAGGTTCTCTACACATATGCTGCTATGTATGATAATCTATGTAACTGTATTTGTGTATACCTGAATAAACTTGCTGACTTACTTACCTAAGCAGCTGGAACTTATCACAATTGAACGTCAGGTTCTTCTCCACTGCCCACTAGAAAACCCTGTTTATGTTTTCCTGTAATTTTTCAGTGTCTTCTACCGATGTGACCTTCATGCTTATTTCAGTGTCATCTGCAAATGTGTCTGCTGTGAGGATGAGAAACAGCAGAGGTGCCAGGACAGTGCCTTGTATCACTGTATTTTCTTTTTACAATGACGACCAGAGGCGTCGGTAATTTAATGTGCAAAAACGTTCACTATAAATAAGGCATCAGAACTCTTAAGAACAGTGTTCTCTTGTTCTACAATTTCCCTCTCCCCTCCTCCCTCTCCTCCCTCTCCTCCCTCTCTCATCCCCTTCTTCTCTCCCTCCCCACACTAACCTCCCTCGTCTTCCATTCTCCACCACTCACACCCAAAAAATTGCATTATACACAACATATACAATAAATAATATTCACATAGATAATTTGTAAGCTATGGCAATTACCGAATCATCATCATAATCATAATTATTTATATAATAATTTAAGCACTAAATTATTATGGTGAGATGATCCTCTTATCTTGCTACCCAGGAAAGTAGTAATATTAACAGGAATAAATATTGCTGCAAGAGGAGAGTAATAACGATAAAGCAGAGGGGGAGGAGAGTAGAAGAGACTCACAATAAAGAAAAACTGGCTGGAGAACTCACCGACAACTTGGGCGAGGGTAGGTGTGGTGGGGGTCAGGAAGTGGAGCAGAACCAGTAGCACTGTCATCAATCTCCACCCAGCCGAGGTGTGGGCGTGGCGGCGGGCGGCAGGATGCTTATCATACAAGTAAGTGGGTGTAGAGGAGGTGGTGGTGGTGGTCTTGGTGGCACCAGGGGTCTTAGTGTCAGTCCCTGTCACTCTAGTGAGGGACGAGGACATGCATTCACACCAACTGTGAGAGGGACCAGTGTGAGGGACCTCCGTGTGAGGAACACTCTCCACCCTCCTGCTGTGTAAGAGACTCGCAGTACTCTTTATATGCTGAGACGGGAGGTTTATACTCTGAGGTAACGGAAACCTCACGACGCGAGGAGACGGAAACCTCTCCAGGTGGGGTGACTGCAACCTCTGTGTGCCAGAGTTCCCCAGAGTTGATGCTGGTTGAAGACACGGGTTTCCTGCGTCTACCAGAGTTGACAGGAAGGCATCAGGGTCAGATATATGAGAGGCAGGAGATGCTGGTAGATGTGGTGAAGGGTTACAGAGACTGGCAGATGCAGTGCTGGCAACACACTGTATTGATGTTGCCAAGCTGTGTGTCTGGTTGACAGTGACCTTACTGCACGAGGCTGGACCATCTACTCTCATGGTGCTAGTTGGTCCAGCCATGGTATGGAACCTACCTACCACCACACTAATTAAACCTTTTGACTTGCTCGCCCCAGACCTGCCGCTGGCGGAGGTTGCGGTGTGAGGTGCGGCCGCCTGCGGTGTGAGGGAAAAAAACCTGGGTGCGGCTCCGAGGTTCATAAAGATGCGGCTTGCCCAGCCGCCTTCTTCAGCAGCCTGAAAGATAAAAAATTAACCATAGTGAGATAATGTTATGTGCCTCAGTGGCTAGTTTATTGTGCACTACATATCCACCCTGTAGACAGTACTGTCCACAGGATGAACTTAAGGGTAAGGAAAATTCCTGAAAACTAGGCCTAAGGCCTAAGGCTTAAGAGTAACATATGTATCATTTCAATTCAATTCAATTCAATTCAAGTTTATTCTCTACAAGGGGTACAATACGGGGTTTACAGGTTTTGGGTATTGTGTGGTTTACATGTTATAAAATACTAATTACAGAGGGGGCCACTAGGACACCTAGCATGGCTAGGTATTTCGGGCAGACTTAGATTAATTCTTAACATTAAATCCTTACAGATTATGGTATTAAGGCTAGGTGACTACATCATAATTTGTGAGTTTAGCAATGCGAATGCTTTTGTTTTGGCACAATACAAGGTGTCTATATTGGAGTATCATAGGCAAACTTATGACTAGTTAGGATTTATTATTTTAAGATTAAGATTAGTATTTCTGGGTTTATAGTCGATGGGTGAGTGAGTGTAATTGTGAACCACCAGGTGGTTATCATGTAGTTAGTTGTCGGGGTGGATCAAGGAGATAAGATGTTTTCTAACTGTAGTTTTGAAAGTGATGAATGTGTCTGCAGTTCTAGAGTTTTCAGGTAGGGTGTTCCAGATTTTAGGTCCTTTGAAATACATTGAATTTTTGTAAAGGTTTAGTCGGACACGGAGAATGTCATAGAGATGTTTGTGTCTGGTGTTATGCCTGTGGATCCTGTCACAACTATCAAGAAAGCGTTTTAGGTCAAGGTTAATATTGGAATTTAAGGTCCTGTAGATATAGATTGCACAGTAGTAAGTGTGGATGTACTGAACAGGGAGTAAGTTTAGATCTATGAAGAGTGGGGGGGGGGGGTGTTGCCAGGAATGGGATTTAGTGATTAGTCTTACTGCGGCTTTTTGTTGGGTTATTATTGGCTTTAGGTGTGTTGCTGCAGTTGAACCCCAAGCACAGATAGCATAGGTGAGGTATAGATATATAAGTGAATGGTATAGTGTGAGAAGGGCAGTTTGCGGCACGTAGTATCGTATCTTGGAGAGGATCCCCACCGTTTTGGATACTTTTTTTGTTATGTGTTAGATATGGGTGCTGAAATTTAGGTTGTTGTCGAGGTATAGGCCTAGGAATTTGCCCTCATTATGTCTGGTAATTAGAGTGTTGTCGATCTTAATGTTAAGTTGTGCATCTCCTGCTCTGCTACCAAACATAATGTAGTAGGTTTTGCCAGTGTTAAGTGTAAGTTTATTGGCTGTCATCCAAGTCGATATTTTGAGCAGCTCCTCGTTAACAATGGTGTTGAGGGTGGCAAGATTAGGGTGAAAGATGACATAAGTCGTGTCGTCAGAAAAGAGAATGGGTTTCAGGTGTTAGGATATGTTTGGAAGATCACTGATGTAAATGAGGAAGAGCAGGGGTCCAAGGACACTTCCCTGCAGAACTCCAGTATCAAGCAGTATCAAGTGGCCGTATTGATGAGGCTGTGTCTTTAATGGTGACATACTGATACCTATTAGAAAGGTAGGATTTAAAGTATGCAAGCGCATGGCCTCTTATACCATAGTGGTTAAGTTTTTGGAGTAGGATGCCGTGGTCTACTGTGTCAAACGCTTTTCTTGGGTCAACAAAAATTCCTAGTGGATATTCCTTATTTTCCAATGCTGTGTAAAGCAGGTCTAGCATTTTTATAATTGTATCATTAGTGCTTTTATTTTTCCTGAATCCAAATTGACAGGGGTTGAGTATGTTTTGTGACGTTATAAATGAATATAATCTCCTGTGTACGAGTTTCTCGAAGATTTTGAATAGCAATGGTAAGTTTGATATTGGCCTATAGTTGTTTACGTCTGTAGGGTCACCACCTTTATGTATTGGTGTAACCATTGACATCTTGAGTAGTTTCGGGAAGGTACTAGTTTCTAGTGACTTGTTAAAAAGTAATGTAATAGCATGCAAAAGGACATGGGCCGCTTGCTTGTACAATAATGGTGGGACGTGAGACAGATTACCCGAGTTATTTTTAAGTGACTTTATGATCGCGGTGACTTCCGTGGGCTCAGTTGGTACAAGATAGAAGGAATTTGGGAAATTCCCATCTAGGTAGTCCCCGGCACGGGCATTGGTACGTGAGATTTTACTGGCGAGATTAGATCCTATGTTTGAGAAGAAGTCGTTTATCTTGTTAGCTGTGTCAGTGGGATGCAGTGGTGTTTCATGAGGTTTAGTTAGAACAATATTCTTGGTTTTTTCAGTTTGTGGGTCCCCAGAATCTGGGAAAGTGTTTTCCAGGTCTTCTTTATATCTCCTCTTGTGTCAGTGAATCTACTGGAGTAGTACAGTTGTTTGGCTTTCTTTATTAATTTGGTGAGAACTGTTGAATATTGTTTAAGAATATCTTTGTGTATTAAGCCCTGTCTATATTGCTTTTCATATTGGTGTTTCTTATCAATGGATTTCAGAATGCTCCTGGTTAGCCATGGGCAACCAAGCCATTTATTCGTGATCTGTTTCGTTTTTATAGGACAATGTTTGTTGTATAGTCTAAGTATTTTGTTAAGAAAAATGTCTGTCCAATCGTCAATACCATTGGCATTGGAGAATTCTGTAGGCCAGTCAACAGTCTCTAGGTCTGCTGTGAAATTCCTTATTGAGGCCTCGTCATGGAGTCTAAATGAAACTTTGTTGTATTCAAGTGGTGGCTTAATAATGTTTGTTAAGAGGAAGGTTGGGTAGTGGTCAGTAGTGCTGTCTGTGATTATCCCTGATTTAAAGGAGGCTAGTAAATTGGTCCATATGTGGTCTATTATGGTTGCACTTGTCTCAGTCAGCCATTTAAGCCAAAATTGCAAGCGTTACCTATTCGGCAAGCTAAGAGCTGTTACCTACATCAGCTCATTTGAAAGCATTTTTATTGTTATGAGACATACAAGTAAGGAACAGGATGAAGTTGGAGCCATCTGTGGGCCAGCATTTTCATTTGATCAACTGACTTTATCTCGTTGACATCATTATGTTGTACGAATGTGTTCCATACTCGAGTCATCCTAGGTATATATGATCTCAGATGGAGTGATGTTCTTGAGAAGGGTACAGCCAGAGTGAAGTTGCTGCTTTCTGCCCGTCTTGTGGCATAAAAGCTTGTTTCACGCTGTCCTCGAAGTGGATCCAAGTGTGGTACTTTGACAATATTGGCCTTGTACATAACAGTAAGGCCACCCACATCCCTCCTATGTTGAAGGCTCTGCTGAAATGACAGATCTATCCAGGATGGGTCCAGGCGAGAGATGAGACGTCTTGCTCTGTTCTCTACTCTGTCAAGCAGTCGCAGATGAGAGGGGGGGGCAGGCAAACCAAGAAAGTGGAGCATACTCAAGGTGTGAGCGTACTTGTGCCTCGTACAGAATCTTGCAACCCCTACTGTCAAGCAGATGCGAGATACGGCGAAGTGCTGTAAGCTTCCTGGCTGCCTTGTTTGCAAGATTTACAACATGGTTCTTCATGGTTAGTTTGGAGTCAAATTTCACCCCAAGGATATCAACTTCTTCTCCAGGTGCCAACACCCTCCCATTCATCCTTACTACTGCACCAGCATTACCATCATGGTGCCTAGAGACGATCATCATTTGCGTTTTCTCAGGTGTAAATGTTACTTGCCATCTATTTCCCCAAGCTGATATAGCTCTCAGCTGGTGGTTGATGTAGCTTAGAGCAGCTGGCATTTCTTCTCTTGGATAAGTGAATGTCAGTGTACAGTCGTCTGCATATGCATGTGATTCTGGGATGAGATGAAGAAGGTCGTTGAAGTAGACATTCCATAACAATGGACCCAGCACGCTTCCTTGTGGAACACTTGCCCCAATAGGATGTCTTGCTGATTCCGTTCCATTGAGAACTACACTTAGAGATCTACCAGGAAGGTAGTCACTGAGGAGACATAGCGTAGAGCCTGCAATTCTCTCACACTCTCTCTCTCTCTATCTATCTATCTATCCTGTTTACTGTTTCCTTTAGAATATTTCTTCTTCCTCTCTCCCTATATTTCTATATTCTCGTCTGGACTGACTGAATCTCTGATGAGTAAGTGCTCTGAGTGGCTGACTTCCCTCTCTGATGAGTGTTCTGAGTGGCTGGCTTCCCTCTCTGATGAGTATTCTGAGAGGCAGGCTTCCCTCTCTGATGAGTGTTCTGAGTGGCTGGCTTCCCTCTCTGATGAGTGTTCTGAGTGGCTGGCTTCCCTCTCTGATGAGTGTTCTGAGTGGCTGGCTTCCCTCTCTGATGAGTGTTCTGAGTGGCTGGCTTCCCTCTCTGATGAGTATTCTGAGAGGCAGGCTTCCATCTCTGATGAGTGTTCTGAGTGGCTGGCTTCCCTCTCTGATGAGTGTTCTGAGTGGCTGGCTTCCCTCTATGATGAGTGTTCTGAGTGGCTGGCTTCCCTCTCTGATGAGTATTCTGAGTGGCTGGCTTCCCTCTCTGATGAGTGTTCTGAATGGCTGGCTTCCCTCTCTGATGAGTGTTCTGAGTGGCTGGCTTCCCTCTCTGATGAGTATTCTGAGAGGCAGGCTTCCCTCTCTGATGAGTGTTCTGAGTGGCTGGCATCCCTCTCTGATGAGTGTTCTGAGTGGCTGGCTTCCATCTCTGATGAGTGTTCTGAGTGGCTGGCTTCCCTCTCTGATGAGTGTTCTGAGTGGCTGGCTTCCCTCTCTGATGAGTGTTCAGAGTGGCTGGTCACTTTGTGACCAAAGTCACTTTGCTGTTACTAAGTGGAGTGAGAGGTCACTTTGCTGTTATTAAGTGGAGTGAGAGGTCACTTTGCTGTTACTAAGTGGAGTGAGAGGTCACTTTGCTGTTACTAAGTGGAGTGAGAGGTCACTTTGCTGTTACTAAGTGGAGTGAGAGGTCACTTTGCTGTTGTGTACGAATGGTATATAATACCG